CGAAATAAATAGAAAAAAGGAGAAAATAAGCAACTGGTGCAAACTGGCTGAGCTACCGGTAACGGATGGGCATCGTTCTGGTAAGCTACAAGCCGGTTGCTGTGCACCAAAAAAATTATTATGCAGAACTATATAAGGTTAAATAATGAGATCGTGGTTGGAGGTGGAGGCTAAGAGGGATGGGGTGGGACAAAGAAACTCACAGTACGAACGCCACTGAGGTCGGCTCCTTGCCATATCAGCAAGTGTGTCCAACCAAACGTGTTCATCGTCTTTCGGACCCCAACCAGGGAGCCGAGACGTTCCAACCGAGGCCAGCTAAGAAGTGAGGGCCTTCGTTCCTCTGAAACAAGTCATCACTTGGCCATCTCTTATCTTCTTCCATCCACACCCCCCGGCGCGCAAACATCACACGTCGTGGGAGTCGATGGGCTGGCATGCATAACAGGTGGCCGAGCCATCGGAGCCAGATGCTTGAGATAACGGTGCTGAGCGGTTCAGATCCTTTTCCTGTGCCACACACAAAGCGTCGAACACGCTCGTTGCTCACGCGGTGTTCCCACCAAATGTGAGCTAAATTGCTAAGGCACCGGTGGTCGAACGTAACCAGCCTCTTCAGGTCCGCTGCCTTAAGAGGCCAGGTTTCACAACCGTACAATAGGGTCGAAGATACCGCTGCATTGTACACTCTACCCTTCAGGGCAAGAGTAATGTCGCGCCGGCGCCATAAGTGGCGAAGGTTAGCAAAAGCGCCCCGAGCTTTTGCTATACGATTCGTGATCTCATCTTCAGTCCCACCGGCGCTGATACAACTTCCCAGGTAGTTGAATTTTTGAACGATTTCTAGCTGATCCCCAACAAGTCTCAGCGCAGGAGGCGATCCCTGCCAATCTTGGAGGAACGCTTTGCACTTCGAGGGTGCGAAACAAAGTCCGAAGTGACGGATAGCTAGTGCTAATCTGTCCAGTGCCGCTTGGCACGTTTGTGAGCTATCACAAATTAGGGCAATATCATCAGCATACTCTAAGTCAAGAAGTCGATCTCCTGGGAGTAGCTCTACACCTTCTAAGTCGTGTCCTGTGAACACGATTTCCATGACTTCGTCAACAGCGAATTTGAAGAGGAAAGGTGACAGTAAGTATCCTTCTCTCACACCGCTGGAGATATTAAAGGGCGACGACAACTTGCCGTAAGCCCTCACTCTGCCCGAGCTACGCGCATATAATGCTCGGATAATATTCACATATTTCTCAGGTACACCTTTCCTGAGTAGACAGTCCCAAAGTGCACGTCCATTCACCGAATCGAATGTACCTTTGATATCGAGGAACACGACAAAGGTGGGCCGCCAATATATGTGCCGGTGCTCCAACAACTGATGCAAGGTGAAGATGTGGTCAATGTAGTCACGACCTCGACGAAATCCAGCTTGCTCTTCACCAATCTGGCTTTCACGAGTGCCAGTCAGTCTGTGAAGGATGACAGAGGCAAGCAATTTGGAGGCGATGGAGATCAGACTGATTCCTCTATGGCCGCCGCATTCCGATCGTGAGCCTCCGTAGAAAATTGGGACAAGGATGGAGCGGCTCCAATCGGTTGGGACAGTCTCCTGCTCCCACAGTTTGACTAGTAACTCGTGTAAAACATCCACAAGAGCAGGTCCCCCGAATTTGAAGAGGGCTGGAGGAAGATCATCTGGTCCCGCGGCTTTATTTAACTTCAACAGTTCGATCTCACTTTCGACTTCTGAGCGAGAGGGTGGATCCAAAGGGGCAGCCCAGGGAGCAGGGCGATCAGTGACCGGCGAGAAATCTAACCATTCCAACCGATTAAATTGCCTTTCAAAGTTCTCAGCCCAACGCTCTAAGCGTTTTGATAAGTTGTGGATAGGCTGTCCACTCTCGTTACGTATAGTTTTACTAACACCAGGTCTCCTGCTGCCTCTTTCCCGTATCAGACGGAATAACTTACGATGGTTACCAAGGGCAGCGGCCATTTTCATCTCTGAAGCACGATGAGACCACCAGGATTCGCGGTCTCCCTTCAGGCTAGCACGGAGTTTCGCCCGGAGCTCTTTGCGAGTTTCATTGTGTTCGCTTCTAGCCGGAATATGCCGGCGAGCATCGATAAGTTCCAGAGACTGCGAAGAGACCCAATGTCCATGTTGACGATTTGACATACCACATGAGGATTTTTCTGCTGCTAATAACGTCTGGTGAATACGAGACCAATGAGCTTCAATTGCATCCAGTGAGCGTTTATCAAACTCGCATGACAGCGTACTTTGATACGCATTCAGAATAGCTGGCTTTGTCAGTTGACTGGTGTCAATGCGCTCACAAAATCGTCGTGGGCTTCCGCCAGAGCCCATCCGCAGGTCAGCACACACAAGTGCATGATCGGTGTCCACACCTGTGCTCCAAATCGAGCGACAGTTCTGGACGCAGCCTCTCCAGCGGTAACTTATCTTAATGTGATCGTTTTGCGTCCAGGGCTGGTTCGTGGCTGGTGGGCGCCAAGTCAACCTCCGGCAAGTGCTGTGTCTGAAATTAGTGCTCGCAAGAAAGAAGCGAGCATCCTCACACAAATGAAGTAACCGCTCACCGTTATCATTACGGGAGCCTATACCATGTTGGCCGCCCAGATGCAGCTTATCTGTGGATAATTTTCCAACTTGAGCGTTCAGATACCCAGCTAGCACTACAGTATCCGAGCTTCTTCTGTGGCTAAGGAGCTCGTTCAGTTGACGATAGAAGTCGTCTTTTACCGAATCACCGCTAGAGTTTGTGAGTGCATAGGCAGCGATGACGAGTAGACACCTGTTAGTCCCACGCGACTTCGAAGCTTTGAACGAGCCAGCCAATCAGACCGCACACATCCGGCTACTGATTGGAATCCAATCAACCAGAGTAGCTTCAGGCCAGGGACGCAGGGCAATACCAACACCGGCTTGGCCGATGCTCGAAGCTGCATCAATATATTGCACCACATCGCAGTTAATAACTGCCATCCGAGGACGGTGTAGTAATGAGTACAAGATACTTTGGATCTAGGAGTTTTAACCAATCTTTCAGTTGGGGCAGTACCTACTGATTATATTTGTAACGACAACATTCCCTAACAAGCCTTGACTAAATATATCCGTTACAAATGCATTTGCATTTTGTTGCGATGACTATCGGCAAGTGTAAAGGCTGTACCCGGCTACACACTGAATCATAAGGTTGGTTAGACAGGCGTTTTGCAAACAACATTTATATTTGCCTAGACACAGCGTAATGTATATACATTCTTTCGTGTTTTATTCTGCGAGATATAGAGAGTGGACATATTGATCTGGCTGTGGGCAATAACTGAGTTGTGTTTGCTATGCGAGTAGAGGCTTCCTATTGCACTTAAGCATGTAATGACTGTAGCCACACAAGACTAAAAAGGTACGAAAAAGAATGTTGCATGCAGCCTAGATGAGGTTTCTACAAACGACTTAGGCTGGCCAGCAATTGCCCCATAGATGGTACGAATGTTGCAGAGAATCCACCAGTCGCAATACTTGGTTTCTTTTTCATCCGGGGATCTTAGAAATAGGGTTAAAGCCATTGAGGAGGATGTACGTTCACATATGGAGTAAGCCTCCGCTGCAGTCATGTGCAGACATCAACTTGTTTACACTTAGGTCTCATCTACAAACGGTTCTTTCCATACCAGATGTGATCAAAGCTTTCAGCCTTATCAAATTCCCAGTGCACTCATGGAACCAGAACCAACCGCCATATGGTACAACTAGCCTTCTAACCTCATTCGCACTGCATATTCCACAAATGTCGTGTATTACTTTTCCATACTGACTACAAACCTCATTGGAAAACTGCTGATGGATCTCGCTGCTTATGAACTTAGAATTTACATTCGAAAACTCGTAGGTATTCGGGCCTGTTGATGAACGCAGCTTTACTATAGCTAAACATGTCCAGATGATTTCTCAACAATTTTGAACCTATCCCAAGTATTATTTTTATTTTTTTCCCCACTCAAGGAAACAGTGGGCGTATTATCTAGAATCTTAATCTTGTCAGTTATCCACTGAACCTGGACAGCAATGGGGCATGTATGCTAGCTGAGATGAAATCAAATGAATATAGCCGTTTGAAACAACTCATCTAATACACAACCCGTTTTTGGTATAAAATAGTTGGTTTACCCATCAAACACAGCCGTTCCATCACCAACAGGTATGATATTGTTAGTAACTAATAATGAGTACCCTCGATAGCGGATTTTCAGCTTTTGGTAACTCCTAGAAATAATACCGCCTACTACCAGACTAACGGTTATGTGCGTTTCAAAGGTTGCTAATCGACTTTCATGAGGACCGGTTGCCAGTTGTTTCACGCCTGGATACTTAGGATAAGATACTTACCATTTGACGCCGTAGCGGTTGTCGGGATTTGGGATGAATCGTTTCCATCCCGTTGGTGAAAAAGCGTGTAGAGGCACATGTAGCTACAAAGGCAGATCCGTTACTTCGCACAAAGCCTTCCAATCCATCTAATTTCCTCCCTTCTGAAATAATAGTAAAGAGAGTCCAAAGCAAAATACACATTTGTGGAGAACCTGTCTGAGGAACTTTTCTTGTTTCCTCATGCCTCGACGCCAAGAAAAGTAGAAACATGTATATTTATTACGCCACATTTGAAAGGGAGACATTAGAGTTCGCATAGACAGTGAAGTTTCATTGACACTCATCAGTGTTTGGCTATAGCAAAAGGTATATCTGACATCTCACTACCCTTTATTTATTTTGCAGTTTTGGACCTCAACGCTCATGGTATCACAAGTTGGACGGATATGGGAGGCCGATGAGACCTACGATAGAACCAACTCCCGGGTTCTCAGCTTCCGCTGATGCAGAACGTCTTCACCGGGCTGTAAAAGGGGCTGGTAAGTCAAAATCACATTACAATTGTTCGCAAGCTTAGATTAATAAATATATACCTTGAGAAACAAAGAGTGCTGCTAATGGTGTGATATAGATGTACATAGACAGCCCTAATTTGTATACCTCAGTTAGTATATCGAAACTCCTCCACCTAATCTAGTTAAACTATAGGTTACACGCACTACAGATGTTCGTACATCTCGATGAGTTATCGATAAGACTTGTCTTTACCACAATTCCACTGATTAAGTCGCACCGTTTGACTCGAAAAGTGTGACTTAGTATGGATGCAGCACATTGCGTAGTTTAGCTATCTTGGTCCATCGAAGGAAGAGGAATTTGTTTTTATATATTACTCGTAAGTAGCAGGATTTTATTTGTAATTTTTGTAAGGTATTCATCCCAGTGGTTTACAAGCTACATAGCACAGCCTAGTCCGGAAAAGCACCAGACGTGTTTCGCCCTATTGGGGCTCGTCAGTGGTGCCCATTCCTTCGGTCCCTTAATTAGAAATGATCCTATGAACGCTAGAGACAGAGGCCAACTAGCCAACAGCTTAAGCCACTGAGCCATGGGGGATGTTAGCTGGGACACAATTTGCAAATTAAATGGGAAATAGCACCACCTATCTTCCACCGCCACTGACAGTGGCTAGCCTGTGAGGTGATGACCTCCTCTCACTAGACGCTATATCCATAGCATTTGAAACTAGGAGCGGCTATTTATTTTATGTATTACTCGTAAGTAGCAGGATTTTAGCCACCATCTCGCAGGCTAGCAACTGTCAGTGACAGTGGAAGATAGGTGGTGCTATATCCCTGTTAGGTTGCAAATTATGTAGCCCAGCCTAGGTCCTCCATGGCTCAGTGGCTTAAGCTGCTGGCTAGTTGGCATCTGCCTCTAGCGGTCATGAGAACGGTCCCCATTAGCGGACCGAGGGACTGCGCACCACTGACAAGCCCCAATAGGGCGAAACGCATCTAATGCTTTTCCGGCCTAGGCTGTGCTATGTAGATTGTAAGCTACCGGGATCATTACCTTACAAACATTTGTTTTCGTTTGAGTGCTGAAGTCATGACATTTCGTCTACTGTTGCTGTCATGACAGAACTGAGTTCCATCACCCAGCGAAGCGGTAATAACGAGTACCGAAGGCTAGTACACGTAGTCCGCACATAACTTTGGGTAGAACGAGTGGGCAGAAGGCTCTTCCCCTAACGTTGGTTTTCTAAAAAGGAATGCACATAGTGGAGGTTAAGATTAGTTTTGTAACGTATGGGAAGTTGGAATATATAGTACGGTTACAGCAGAAGTGTAGGCAGGCTGAGCAATGTAAACTGACTCAACAGACGAGCATAAATTGATATTACTAAGCCAGCTTAATGTGGTCTAATTCATGTGGGTGCTAACTTCCATGGTCCATGGAGGCAATTGGCTAGATGATGATGATGGATTTGGGTAGAGCTTGTTATACTGAATCCAGCTATGAACGGTATCGGGTCTAAAAAGAGGCTGCTTTCCTACGGATTTTGCAGCTTTAAAAGAATGCTTTTTGCCTAATCCCTCATTGTCTCTCGCTGAATGAATTAAACGTATTCAGTACACCGGGTACTGATGGATATTTTATCCAGATGTTAAATCACGCAACGATAGCCAGTTTTATGACCTCGGATGAGCATTACCATGTATCCATGGGTCAGTAGGATATGGATTAGTGACCAGACAGTTTGGTTGAAAGAAAATGTGACAAGCCGCGGCGAATGCTGTGGTAATTTAAGGGATCGAAAGTTCTCTCTGCCTTACACAGATTAGAACTCATACATGCGCCAATAATCACTCGTCACTTGCGCTAATATAGATACAGCAGTATGTTGTGTACATTCCCTTATCCACCAATTTTCCATCACTCTCCTCCCGAGTTGGACTACTGATGGGACCCATACATTGAGATATAAGAAATTGCAAGGTGGGTGAAATATCGTGGGGTTGTCATTGCTTCCATCTGCTAGTTATGTAAGAGATCGCAGACAAGATAGAACAAATAATACTTCGAAATGCCCCACCAATAAGATGGAATATAGTTTAGGAACTCAGAAAATTTCATTTCATTTCAGCAACAAGCTATGAAGTGACGCAATCGTACATGTTTCGCTAGTTTAGCACAGTGTCTTTATTGTACTAGCTTGATCGGTAAATTAATGAGGTGGGTATCAACCATTCCTATTAGTCAGTGGATTTCTTTTCTACTGTGTTTCTAGGATAGACTGGCTATAAATACTGTTGTAATATTCTTTCGGTCCGGTGTTCTGAGCTCTTCCGTGTCCAAGTAGTGTGACAAGCTGCAATGCAAAATAAATACCTAGTAGACGGCTGTACGCTCGAGCCGCCTAGTAAGAGGCCGATGTAAAGGAAGCAGCTAAGGAAGCACGGAAGAGGATAGGAGGAGTGCCGGAGAGGAATATGGGGGTAATGATAACAGGAAGCAAAACCCATCGACCTCTTACCTGTTAACGCGTTACCGTGACGCCCGCGGACCGCCTACACCGTGTTTTCAATGTTGTGGACTTCACTGGTCTACTACAAAGGTGCTACTCACGAACGACCTGCATTACTTGGAGACACTGTAGTAGGTTTCCGTTGGAGAACTTACGACCATCCCAAATGTACTTAGGCGCGCTCATGCCGCCTGAAGCACTGAGTTGATGTACTTCATTCCTTCTAGCTAAACTAGACGGACGTGAGCTCAGTGGTTACTTATTAGACTTTAGGGAGTATTTTCCCCATTTGAGCAGATATTCTCACGTAGTAGACAGTACCAACTGATGCAGTGTTAGTGCCATTAGGCTAAGGGTTGACAGCAGCGCAATTTTTGAGCGTTCAAGATGGCACTTTGTCAATCTAGTTGCTTGCGACGGAGATAGATGATAGGTAATTTTATATTTTCCCCCATGGACGCAAGCCGAAGTTGTGCTCCCGGGTGTCCGATAGTCAATTTGGTGATTCGGGCTTCTAACCCAAGCATATTTGTGAACAGCACCATCATTTTCATCATGCATACCTGATGTCCACATGCTACTGTGAAACATATTGATAATCCGCGTTTGGACTTGGATAATAAGTTATGGATGTTATGTTCTGTTTTTCTCCCAGCTGGGTGTTTTGGCTGCAGGCGTTTCGCCACCAGGCTAAGCAACATCGCCATACTTGATAAACCGCACCAGTAGTGCGGTAAGGTAGACATGAGTGGAAGGCTGACGGTGTTCACCTGTGGAATACCCTCACTGCCCTTGGTAAAGAGGCAGCTCCATCAACCACGCCTTTTTGCTTTCCACTTCGATCTGGTCGGATTAGTTCAGTCAAAGCAGCAGAGTCTTTGTCATTCCGTTAATTTCACCTAGCGACCGAGGTTAAGAATCCTCGTGCAAGTGATGGTTGATAGTCGGCCCAAGAGTATCACGTTGAAATTCTAGGGAGCTTGTGACGCCATTCCGACCAGAGCGAAAATCCGGAAGTTCGTGGTTCAGACCGAACTGTGAACAAGTAGGACGACTGGTAATGATTGCTGATGTGATAGAAGACAACTCAACTTTCTCATAATTTCCCAGAAACGCTTTCAGCTGGGTGGGCTACAAGCTTAAAAAACTTAGATTTTATGCGTACTCGATGGAGAAGGAATTTGGAGACATATGCACAGGAATGAGTCGGTTGGTAAGAAGTTGTGACTGATTGGCGTTTGCTAACTTGGTTCAAACTGCATTTTGAAAATTTACGCCATTGAAAGCTCAGTGGAGAGCGACATTCCTTACCTGCCAGCATAGCTACCACTATTAAGCTATGGAGATGTCGGCTGGATGGGCAACGAAACGTCTGCAAGTACAGTATCCAGCTCGGCGAACTAGTCAATACGCCATAGCCCATGCCATCGTCCAGAAGATCGACCATACTCCCTGTCACAAACATGTGACTTCAATGGCCAGCTTTCCGAGACTTCATAGATACGCATCGAGTACCCAGCGATCTTACCCCCTCTTTTTAGTAGATCACCAGGTCTCCACAGCGACCAGAACACTTGACTAGCATTTTGAGTGAGATTCTCGAATTCAGTTGTTCACTAAAAGTAGATGGCGGCAGTGGACACGAACAGGGAAGCGGCAACTCTGCGTTGACTGTGACCATCGACTAAACAGTGGCTGCCAGTGGCCCCAGAACCTGAATTTCATACACACGTTGTTCGCATCTAGTAAACATCAGGTCCAAGCGCGACGGAGTTGAATGCAAATTTGTGCTCGTTGATTTTGCGGTTGTGCTGTACTGTGGCGGCTTCAAATATCATTTCCACCAACTATGCCTCAATGCAACGATGCGCGGGGAGAAATCGAACCTAAGGCTAGAGTTTTCGAAATACGTTGTGGTTACCCATGGACAGAACCGGCTATAACTCACATGGCTTCGGACGTGCGCAGCTAGTCTAAATAGCGGCTTCGGTGACTGCAGTAGATCACGCTCGCATGAAGTTCACCAATGTGGATCGAGCACTACAATTGACCACACAGACCATCATCGTCTCAATAGGCTCATGGACGAGAGATTGCAAGTGCACAATGGTGATGCCGATTAAGAAAGGTAGCGACCCAAACGAAATGAGTACTTACTGGTCCATTTGTTTTACCGATGTTTTGTTCATGGTACTTGAGTAGCGCGTAGAGGAAGTTCCACTGCAGCTTCTACAGTCGAATGACCATCAGACGCTCTCAATGCAGTTTCCCGAAAAGCGGCCCATGCATCACCAACCTGCATGAAAAGAAGCCTGAATGATTACAAGCACTGAACCGAGTGGCGTCAGTCGACATTATCCACTGATTTCAATAAAGCTTCGAATAGGTGAACCTCTAGGCCCTCTTTACAGAGGATGGGGATGCACGTTGTTGTTGGATCAGTGCACCAGCGGATCAGCGACCTTATTATGGGCGAAAGCGGAGGATAGAGACGGATGGTTATCTAAC